AAGTGGTGGGGAGATATTACGTCTCTGTCATATTGACTGTCAGAGCTTAAGCCTGCCTCTTTCTATGTAAAGTAGTTGCGCTTTATATTCATGCCAAAAATGGCAACCCCAAACTCTGCTTTCCATTTCTTACCAAGAAACTGTTTGTGAAGAATAATACTAATTGAAAGATTACCTAATGGACATGGAGTCCAGTTTGCCCTTGATAGTTCAAATTGTACCCTCAGACCAAACCAGACCTTCAGAGAGCTAGATGCTTGGGCTGCATTGTTTGGGTCATTGTGAAAAACAAAGACATGCAGGCATTGCAAAGGAAAGAAAAAGTGAGCCCCATTACTCACAGTGACTGTGGGCAGAGCAGAAGTACCCGTGGCAGCAATAGAATGATGGGGAGTAGACATGGTTGTCAAGGGCTTTGAGAAAAATTGAAGAGAGGATGTGGATTTGTGGGTATGCAAATGACACATGGGGTGACGGTGGCTAGTTCATTTCCTCTATAGTAGATATAAGTGAAAAGAGAAGTGAGAACTCAGAGTAGGGGGTTGGGGGTAATCACACTTCCCCTATTGTAAAGCTGGAATAAGAATATTTAATACACGTTTTCTTCCTCCATCCTGTTGCATTTGGGAAAATGTAAAACCCATAGCCATGATTGATTTGATGTGTTGTTGTTGTTGTTGTTAGTTGCTGTCAAGTCGGCTCTGACTCATGTCATATTTATTGTCAGAGCATACGCCCCATGTAAACAGAATGAAACACTGCCCTGTCCTGTGCCATCCCTGTCACTGCTGGTATGCTCGAGTCCATTGTTATGGCCATTGTTTATTTTGAGTCCCTTCCAACATAGGGGACTCATCTTCCAGCACTATATTGGACAACGTTCTGTTGTGATCCATAGGATTTTCACTGGCTAATTTTCAGAAGTAGATCGCTAGGCCTTTCTTCTTAGTCTGGCTTAGTCTGGAAGCTCTCCTGAAAGCTGTCTACCATAGGTGACCCTGCTGGTATTTGAAATACTAGTGGAATAGCTTCCGGCCTCATAGCAACACTCAAGCAACCACAGTATGACAAACTGACAGATGAGTGGTGTGATATGATGTAGGGCATAGTAAAAACACACAGAAGTGGACCATTTAGAAATTGAAGTAAGGCCATTTTTTACATCCTCCTATTTCTATTTTAGCTTTCTGTAGGAAAAGCAGAACTTGGAAACTTCTACAGTAGATTCAGCCAATGAACTTTTATCTAAACTAACCCTTTTCTGGAACTGATTTTTCCCAAAGCCAGTGAGTGGCTATCAGTCAGCCTAGTCTCCCCTGCCCCCTTCTTCCAGTTGAGTGTATTTTTCACAAGAATATGGTGTTTAACACTAATATAGTAGGGTAACACACCTAGCTGATTTTCTTCAGACCTTTTGATTCTAGTCACCATCTACACACACACACATATGGAGGCAGCAACATCAGTGGGTTAAAACTGAAAGATCATGTCTAAGACTCCACAGAAATGGGAGAAAGTGTGATTAAATAACCCCTTTGTGTTTTATGTCAGAAGAGAGATCTTTCCCCCCGAGGGATGAAACAGTATCATAGCTTTATCTTTAGAATGTTTTGTCATTATTCTCTGAGTTTACGGGAACACAATGCTTCAGAAATCACTCCTTCTAGAAAGAGGCCTTTTAAAGCTTTCAGACCTTCACTGATTCATGGAAAATTTTGTTTGCATGAGCTCTGACCATCCTGAATGCTTGGAAGTTACAGCTAACTCTGTGGTTTTGTTCTATTGGGGCATATATGGGCATGGAAACTCAGATATATCAGGTCCATACCCTTGTGTCTGATTGGATATATCTGCTTTGTTAGCACTGGGTGTAATTCTAGTAATTTTGGAAACACTTTTTTTTCTTTTTTTGTTATACTAAGTATATAGGTAACAGAACATTTGCCATTTCTACAATTGAAACATGGTCTTTTAAAGATGAGAGTCATCATTGTAACTGAGATCAATAGAACATTCAAGAGTTGGAACAGAAAATCCTATGAGGATACTGTACACATAAGATTTTCAGAGTATCTATACTGACTGGTCCTATTTGTAAAGCGTCTTACCCAGAATTCTGTCCGTACAAGCAGCACCAAAGGATGGATTTTTGTGACGAACCCAGGAAGAGTAGTTGGATAGTAGCATCAGTATAAAGGTGTTAACTGTTTTCCACAAAATGAATCATTTTTGGTTATACTTAACATTTCTGGAGTATATCACACCTTGATAAACTAACTGCAAAGACATTTTAATAAACAGATTGCCATGCAGGGTGGGGGAGAAAGGGGTGTATTTTTATGTGTGTTCCACCTTCATTTCTGCTAATGACTCATTATCTGGAAGTTTATCTTCACTTTTTCGAAACTCCTCTTGGTTACGTGGATGTCCACTTGGAGTATATAAGCTTTTTTTTTTTCTCCAATTACTGATGGCTAGATCCTCCCCATTCATTCATTTTATTAGCTCAATAGGAGAGTAGCAGTAACAATAGCTACTAGTTAGTAAGTACTCATTTTGTGCCAGACAACATCCTACGGGTCTTCAGCATCCTGCAGTAAAAAATGGAAGAGTGAGACTTTATTGATTGTCTGTTGACTTCTGTTAAAATTAACAAGGAAAGGATGGCACACATGAAAGGGAAGAACCATGTCATACTAAGTTATTTAAATGTTTTTTAAAAAACCCAGTTACATTTTCAGCAATAAGATGCTGACCATTTACAAAAAGGCAGAAAAAAATGTTAACAACTTCATAGAGCAAACAAGTCCCTGCTGTTTTCACATAACACCATGAAAGTTGCCCACATGCTGCCAATTGACTTGCATTTCCACCCATTCTGTCTTTAAACAACTGCTGACATTTTTACCTCATACGCAAAAGTTAAACGCTAAGAATGCTTCCTGTTTGAGAGGCAGAGTAAAGGAGGCTTTGGAGCAGATCCTCGACCTTTCTGGGTTTTGTTTTCCAGCACCATATCTGCTGCACCTCTTTGCTTGAGCTAACCTCCGACACCTTCCCATCTCACAGCCAGTCAGGCGAAAGCTTTTTGTTGTGGATTTTACATCTCACAGGGCACAAACTTAGGTGTGTAAAAATATAACTTTATCTTTCTAAAACAGAACTTAATTCCTTTCTTGAGCCCCCATTTCTCCTGGTGATGGAAACATAACCTTAATTCAGGGTATTTCCTTTTTCTCCTACTCCTGGGGATGCATCTTCATACGGAGGTGAAGTAGGGGCAGAAAGCAAGGTGAGTTACATAATGTCAAATCTTTAGTTTTAAATAAAATTATCATTTTTCAAGTCATTGTAAGAAGAGGCTTGTGGTCATAACTCTTGAAACAGTCAAAATTTTCTTACTGCTGTTCAGTAGTCATTTGGCAATTTTGGTACTGATTGTGTAATCTCCTTTCAAGCAAAAAAAGTAACATTCTCATTATGTTTCAAAATCTGTTCCTTACGTCATCTTTGTCAGAGCTTGAGTGAAGGGGGAACTCTCTGTTCTTTGCTTTACACATGTTACCAAGAAAATATTGAGTCGATTGAAACCAGGCAACAATTCAATAGTACCAGTTTCTTTACCTTCTTCTGAGGTCTGGGGTCTTGTTTTCCTTCTGTGTCTATCTCAGAAGATAAGTCTACCAGGAAAGAAGCAGCCCTATTTCTGATGGGTGGTGGGCATAGTTATTGTTGTGGTTTTGTGTCAGTTTAGCTAAGCTGGAAGTATATTTCCCTGAATTTCCTTCCCTGTTGATTGTAGGTTAAAATAGCCCCAAGAGAAATTGTGTGAGATTTGGAAGACTAGTGCAGCAGCAGCCGTTTGGTGCTGAAGGTTTGGAGGCCCAGGTGCTGTACACTGTCGTTCATCTCCTGGTGCACTTTTTGGCCTCAGGCAGCAGCTGGGACCACAGCCCTTTGAGTTCCTCCTGGATCTCTTTCTTTGGCTTCCGTGCATTGTGAGCAAGGCACAGGTACACCTCTGTGGTGAAGACCACTAGCTTTCTGTGGGTCACCCGTGTCACTGAATTTGAGGGTAGACAAGGGTCCCAGTTTATCCTCATGGATTTTACTTTGTCCCTCTTCTCCCCTACTTCATGTCCATCTTTTCTTCCCAATTGTCAGCTCTGCTTGCTACAGTCACTTCAGGCCCAACACCAGAAATGGAGCCGGTAGCCTCCCATAGACTTCTTTACCACCTAGTAAACCTCTTTCCTATCATACATAGTGGTTTTGCTTCCCAGATAGAACCTTGTACAGTCCCCCTCTTTTTTTCTATTTGTTTATTGTTGTAGTTTAAGTGAAAGTTTACAATTCAAGTTAGTCTCTCATACAAAAATTTATACATACATTGTTAGGTGACCCTAATTGCTCTCCCTATACTGTGACAGCACACTCCTCCTTTCCACCCCTGATTTCCCATGTCCATTCAACCACCTCCTAACCCTCTCTGCCTTCTCATCTCACCTCTGGACAGAAGCTGCCTGTTTAGTCTCATGTATCTACTTGAGATAAGAAGTACAGTCTTCAAGAGTATCATTTTATGTCCCACAGTCCAGTCCAATCTTTGTCTGAAGAGTTGGCCTCGGGAATGGTTTTAGTTCTGGGTTGACAGATAGTCCCGGAGCCATGCTTTACGGTGTTCCTCCAGTCTGTCAGACCATTAAGTCTGATCTTTTACTGGAATTTGGGTTCTGCACCCCACCTTTCTCTCCTGCGCCATCAGGGACTCTCTGTTGTGTTCCCTGTCAGGGTGGTCATTGGTGGTAGCCAGGCACCATGTAGTTCTTCTGGTCTCAGGCTGATGAAGTCTTTGGTTTATGTGGCCCTTTCTGTCTCTTGGGCTAATACTTTCCTTGTGTCTTTGGTGTTCTTCATTTTCCTTTACTCCAGGTGGTTGGGACCAATTGATGCATCTTAGATGGCCGCTTGCAAGCTTTTAAGACCCCAGATGCCACTCACCAAAGTAGGATGCAGAACATTTTCTTAATAAGCTTTATTATGCCAATTGACCTAGATGTCCCCTGAAAGCATGGTCCCCAGACCCCTACCCCTGCTACTCTGTCCCTCGAAGTGGACAGTCCCTCTGAACACCACGAATGCAGTGTAGCCAATTTGTGGTATTCATCGTGATGAGGAATTGGGATGGTATAAGTCATTGAAATGGACAGATGATCAAAACATCTCATTTAACCATTTCAACTGTTTCTCCTAACACATCAAAATTAGTGATTCTGATTTCACTATTTTTTACAAATGAATTGAATGATGAATTTAGTTACTGGTTCTCCTTGATATGAATGATTGCTTTTTCCAAACAGCACAGTTTAATACTGTGGGGGACTTAAACACTTGTAAGCTCTGTCTTCTTTGTGGAGTGGAGTGGAGTGTGGAAATGTTTACAGATATGAGAAAAGAAGGAGGCAAATGTTTTTACTGAAGTTTTGCAGATAGTAAATGCACACATATAGAGAAAAGCTGACCCTG